GGCTGCTTGAAGGGACTGGATAGCCTTTTCTCCTGGGAAAGATCCCCCATGTCCTGAAGGAACAAGCCAGGGAGGTGCTGTAGGGCTGGGGAACCCCAGAGTTGAATTAGGACCACTGATGTTCTTTGTTCCATTTGGCATTTTGGGTTTCTCTTGGAAAACAGCCTCGGGGAGCAGGTGCTTGCTTTCCTGCTGGGGTGTGGAGCTGAGAGGAGTGGGGTTTGGGGGGGGGTCCTAGGGATGAGGATGTTGAAGAGGTGGGTCTTTCTTCCCATCACATCATGTCTATGTGGGACAGGCAGCAGTGGTGGACTGGACCAGCAAGATGAAGTCCACAGATGTAGGAACTGAAGCTCTCTCATTGACGCCTGGGGAGCAGGGAAGGTCCGTCAGTGCAGCAGGTCCTGGGTAAGCCTGGGGAGTAGTGGGAAATGGAGACTTAAGTTTCTAGGATATGTTGGAGCTGGGCTGAGTGATGCAGGCAGGGTGATGGGTTAAATTGTTGCTGCCCTTCTTGCTGGCCCTCTGAGGTAGGCTTCCCCAAGAGTCCTTTTGGAGATGCCCTTGTGGCCTCTCTCCTCTGGCTCTTCTGCTGCTTCCCCACCTGCCTTCCTAGGAGCGGGGAGAAGGAATGGTCACCAAAGTGGAGAAGTAGAGGGGGCTCTCTACAGCTCCCAGCCCTCATCTGCATACAGGGAGGAATTCCTCACACTCAGCCACTTGGGGAGGTTGTATCAATGTGCCATCAGCACCATAAATCCATCTTCAGAGCTTGGAGCTGGACACACTCCCTGCATTAACAATATAGATGTTCTGGGTGGGCTAGTTTTGGCTCCCGGTTAGGGAGGCAGATGAAGAGGTGGGTTACAGCTGGAAGCAAGGAACCACTGGTGGCTGGAGGTCTCCCTGGTGCTCGCTGCCAGCTCCTGCCAGACCCACCAAGGAGTTCCAGCTCCAGGCATGGGGTTAGCCTGAAGTGCCTGTTCCAGGTGGGCTGGGGCATGGGTGTGAGGGATGTTCACATGGCCTGGGGGCACTTTTCCTACCTAAAACACACTGGGAGGGAAGTGTGGAGCTGCAGGTGTGCATGCACTGGGATTGGCCGAGTTGCTAAGGAAACAAGTCAACGGTGCAGGGGAGAGAGCGTTGGGTAAAGGAGATAAATCAATAAAAAAACCTATTTTTATCGGCTCCCTAATGATCCTCCAGGAGAAGCCAGACGAAGGAGGAGGAGAAGGCTGGAGGGCTTTCATTACCAGGCTTGGAGGGAGGCAAGTGCTATTCTGTGTTTTGGGGAGCTGGAAGGTTGTGTGATTAGACATCTAATGAGAGAGGAAGCAGAGTAGTGTTAGAGCATTGTCCAGTGGGCTCCAGCCCTTAGCAGGGAGAATACTTGCTTGGCAGAAGTGAAATGTGATGACAAAATTTCCCCCAGTTCAGACAGATGTTCCTGCTGTTCCTTGGGGAGGGTTTTTTTACCCTTGGCCTTGCAAAATGTGGCACAGCTGGAGCTACAGGGGCTTGTTTCTGTAGAGTTGATGCCTTGCAGCTCTCACTCAGCTCCAGATGCAATAACCCAGGCTCGAGTCCATGGAAAACTGGCCCAGCAGCGTTTGCAGAATCACTTTTGACAGTGACCTTCTGCTTAGGTCATTGCTTAGGCCAGTGATTGCCCTGTTTCTCTTAGACTTGGTATCTGTTGACCCGTGTGCCACATGGAGGTTGAGCAGGGACGTGGTCCCATGCTGGGGCTGTGATAGATGTGCGCTGTCCTTGTGCTGTCAAGCCAAATGTTGGATCCAGCAAAGAATATAGGGGTGAACTGAGGCATTAGAGGTGGTCCTGAGCCCCCCAGCCACTGCTGGGCAGGGCTCCCATGCTGCTGGCTTTGAAGAAGTTGAGGGTTTCCCACCTGGGTGTTTCTCCTGTGGGACTAGAGCCTGGACAGGGAGGAGGCGGTGGCACATGCCTGGCACCATGGGGAGGAGCGCGGGATGCTTGGTGGGGTTAGCTGTGCTGGGGCAGACAGACGGACTTGCCGCGCCTTTTCCACACTTCTCATCTAGGCAAATGTGCCTAGCGCCTGGGGAGCTGGCTGCACCGCCCCACTAACACGCTGTTTTCTTTTAAGCCTGTGCTAATTGCTTGCAGACTTTCACGGAAATGAAACAAAAAGACCCCAAATAGGCCAGTGGCTTGGGGCCAAGCGCCGCAGTCTGCGTATCAGCTGAAGTGGGCGGTCAGAGGCGGGAAGCAGGAGCCACATAATAGAATCCTCAGTTGTGTTAAGCCTGGGAGGAAAACTTTGGGGTCTGGCTTCCCTCTGGGCACAGGGAGCTGCTTCACGATTCCGAGCCCACAGCAGTGAGCTCTGCAGCGGTCTCTCTTTTGGTTTGCCTTTAACTTAGCAACCATTAATTTCACTGAGTGGCCTTTTAAATGCCTTGGCTGAGTCTTTCCTGGCTCTTCTCCCTGTCGGGCTAAATACATCCCAGCTCCTGCAGGCTCTACTTGGCTGCCCTGCCTGGCCCGCTCTCCAGGGACCTGCCCTGATGCCCGGCTGCACCCTCACCTTGCCCCTGTGCTGCAGCATGCACGGGGTAGCTGCTGCTGGGGTTGCTGCCACTGGGGTCGCTTCATGGTTTCCAGTTTCCTGTGCTCATGGCCGGCACTGGGACATCTTCTCTTGCCTATGCGCTCAGGACCATTGGTTTAAAGCATCTCGCTATAGTCAGTAGCTTTGGTGGCCAAAAGGCAAGGTTGCAAAAGAGAAAATAATCTGTTTTCCTGGGGGTGGTGGCACGGGCGTGTGGCACCTCCTGGCCTGAGTGGCGTGAACCTGAAGCTGCTGGGTCTGGAGAAGCCTAGTGTGCGGGGGAAGGGCTCAGCTGGGGCGCTGCTCCCCATGCCGGCTTGGGAGGGTGGGACCATGGATGATTGCTTTGTGGGCAAATCCATCCCAGGTGGGTTCACATCCTATTTCCACAAACATGAGCCTTGGGAAGGTGGCAGTCCCCTCCCGGGGCGGTTGCTGATGCCAGTGGTGACAGTAATGTAGCTGTGGGGTTTTGGCATGGAGGGAGCAGAGAAGGGGTTTGCTGCCTGCTGATGAATCTCACCTCATTTTGTTATTGAGGACAACAGGGCTTTTATTGCAAAGATGTGGTAAAGATGGATAGGCCGTCCTGCCGCTTGGAAGTGCTTTGTTTTCGGGGCTTGGTGGTGGGCCAGGCAGGAGGAGGGAGCTCCATGCTCCTGTGAATCAAAAGGCAGGAGGGAGCTGAGTTTGGGGTGCTTTCCTGGGCATCAGCCTGCCCTTTCCTCTGCCTCCTCTCTCTATTCACTCAGGTCCTCAGATGCCAGCATCTTCCACCGTTGTCCTGGCACAGGGTTGGTCCTGAAGAAGGATGTGCAAGCCCTAGACATGTCTGTAGGATTTAGGATGCTTGTAAAGGTCCAAGCAGATCCTGTTGATAAGGTGCTCTATCCCTTGGCGTCTTGTTGAAGTGTGGCTGAGCTGGGATGTCTCCATGACGTGTTTCCATCCTGCCTGAACTGAAGCTCAGACCCAAGCACCATCAGTGTCTTGAGTTGCAAATGCTCAGCCTGGTGCTCTGAAGCTCCAAGCACTGCCTGGACTGCAGGGTGCTTGGCAAGGGACCCTTGGTTACCAGGACATGTCCTTGCCAGTGCGGGGCACGGGGTGGGCTGATCTAGGTTGGATCCCCAGGATCTGCTAGGGATGCCCTGTGCTCCTTGGGCCATGCAGGATCCCAGGGGGATACTTTAAGACCAGGGCTGCTGATAGCCTGTGACACCTGCCTCTCCAAGTCACATCTCCTGCTGCTTCGTGATGGAAGAGAGAAGGCAAGCAGCAGGGCCACAGCATGCAGGGATGTGCCAGCCCTGGCTGGCAGCATGCTATGCGAGGGAGATCCTCCCCGACACTGCCAGGGACCACGCCAAACCTTTTTCCACATGAAGCCCAGCCTGGTCAGAGGCTGGCTGTCCACCTTCATACTTGTGTCTGTCTTCTCAACTCCCACCACAAGCAGCATCTTTCTCTCAAGAGAGTTCACAGCCCAGCGAAGGCTGTTGGTTAATGTCCTGTGAACTCAGGAAGGCGGTGATAAGGCTCAGCAGCTCTCTGGTGAGGAAGGTCTTGGGGGCTCTCGGTTCTCTTGTCACTCATCTCATTTCCAAACAGCACCAAAGTGGGCTTCATCCTCCTGCCCAGGAGCAGCGGGAGGTAAAAGCTGGGCTGTGGGTGTGCGTGTTCCTGTGCGGAAAGCAGTGGTGGTGACTAATGAGCAGGTGAAATGCAGGGTGGGCAGGGACAGGCTGGTGGGTCAGGGCCATCATCCACCTCTTCTCTGCTCCTTAACTCCTCTCCACTCCCTTCGAGTACATGATCCTGGCGACCATCATTGCCAACTGCATCGTGCTGGCCCTCGAGCAGCACCTCCCTGAGGATGATAAGACGCCCATGTCACGGAGATTAGTAAGTACCCTGCATCTGTCCCTCTCCACCCTGCGTCGGGGGGTCTGGCAAGTGAGCAGAGGCATCAGCTGAGGGGAACCATCCCATCCTTCCAGCCAATTTCTTCTGGTTCCAGGGTGGTAGGGCAGGAGGGTTCATCTGAGACCAACTCCTCCAGCCTTCCTGAGGCTGCTGTCACATACTCCTCCTCCATGGAAAGGGTGCAGGAAGGCTTAAGCCCCTTAAAAAGTGGGGTAGGGAAGGGGGATTGGGCAACTTGAGTGGGTCATAGCCACCCTCTTTTTATTTCCAAGGTTGGTGCTGGCTGAGGAAGGGCTGGGAAAGATCCCACAGGAGAATGTGGGGCTGCAGAAGGTGGGATGGGACATGAGTCGTGTCCATGTGAAATGGCCGGTGCTGTGTTTGCCCAGTCTCCTCCTCTCACCATCTCACCGGTTCCCCTCTGGCAGGAGAAGACGGAGCCCTACTTCATCGGGATATTCTGCTTCGAGGCTGGGATTAAGATCGTGGCTTTGGGGTTCGTTTTCCACAAGGGCTCGTACCTGCGCAACGGCTGGAACGTCATGGACTTCATTGTGGTCCTCAGCGGGTGAGTCAGGCAGCATGGGGCCATTGATGGGGTTGGGCAGCCAGGTACAGGGCCTCAGCCTGGTGGGGACACGAGCTCCAGGACATGGGGCAAGGCCCTGGTTTGCTGTTGCTGTTGGTATTTCTTCATCCCAGCAAGGGAGGGGAGGATGGTTCCCTGTGCTGGAGGTTCCTGCATTGGCTTTGCTGTGGGCAGCTGATGGTGGGACAAGGTTCCCCATCGGGCAAGGAGGGCTGTCTCTGAGGGCATTGTGTCTAGCTTTCCTTAGCTGGTGGCCTAGCAGCTGTAACCCATGTGGGCACTGGGCAATGTGAGGATGAGGTAGGAGCATGGCCTGATAAGCAACTGGACGTGATCTGGGAGAGGTTTTTGTCAAACCCTATGTGGGGAGGGAGAAAATCTTTTTTCCTCTTGACTTCCCAAGAACTTTCCAACCTTGGCCTGGTGCTGGGGGTTTGGGAATGAGGTCTGGGTGGGGCTGTGTTCCCAGGTGATGCTTGCTTAGTGCCCCAGCATGCAGCAGTGAGGCTGGGGGTAGTAGCACACAGAGCTTCTCAGGTGCTGGTTGTGTCACTGGTGGTGTCACCTGCCAGGGACGTGGCCCAGATTTGAGTCCTGCTTGTGGTGTGATGGGCTGTGCTGGTGACAGAAATGAGCAGGGATATTTGGGCTTGTGCTAGCCAACGGCAGCAGTCAGCTTGAGCAGAAACCTCCCAGGGTGACTTCTTGGCCCCTCACTGTGTGGAGGGCAAGTGGGTGCTTGCAGCCAACGAGGGACCCTGGGGAAGGGGTTGTTCCTTTTTGCATGCTGATGGAAACACTACATTCAGAGGAGCTGGTTTGATGCATACAGATGGTGCCTGTGGATCTCCAAGCACTTAATGAGCTCTGTTAGGTGCAGACCAGCTGCAGGGCTGGCTAGGAAACTGAGGCACGGGAGCCAGGTGAGATATCTGAGCTCTCTCCTGAGTTCCTTGCTGCACAGTCCTGTCTCTTGGCTTGCAGGGTGGTGGCACCACATGGGACGTGATACCCGTTGGGGTGTTTGGAGAAGGAAGGGGGATGCTGAGCCTGGTGCTGCCAGGGGCATAGTGATGGGTGCTGCTTGTGGATGGTGGAGAGGTGCAGGTTGGGTCTGTGCTTGAGAGAAGGCTTGAGGAGAACATGACCAGGAGTGTTTTGACTCTCTTGGTCCAATGTGGACCTGGATGACCTTGCTAGGGAGTGGGTCCATTTCTACCTGTGAAGGCAGGGTGCTTTGATGTGCTGGTGGTGGGTGACGATTCTTGGTGGGCAGCAAACAGGCTGCCTGTGGGTGGTGCAGCCATCGCATGGGATGATGCTGGCTCTTCTGCATCTGCAAAGTGACTCTCGGGGGAAGACTCAGTGGCCAGGTGGGCTTGCTGCTGTGGGGAGAGTGGCTGGGCATAGTTTCCGGGCTGAGCAAAAGTGGTTACATCTCTGATGACAGCCTGGGACATGTGTCACCCCTGGTAGCAACAAGAGGGGGTGTCTTGGCCTCGCTGTGCAGCTGCGGTGCTGGGCTGAGTGTGCAGAAAGCAGCTGGGTGGCTGGGAAATGCCCATCGGCCGTCTCCTGGCCTGGGCATCCTTTGGGGCCTGGGCCAAGGGGAAGCACTGGGCTGGTAGCGGGGGTTCACTGTGGACCTCTCCCTGCCCTCACCGCAGCGCTGGGAGAGCTGACTGTAACCGAGCTGGTGCTGAGTCAGCGCTCGGCAATTACTCACTCGCGAAAGCCTCGCCAGCTCCTTTCAGTGCCACGCTGTGCCGGGCCCCGTGCCAGGGAATCAATTGTCCATGAAGGACTGTTAGTGTCGTGCTGGCTGCTCTGCCGGGAGGTGCCTGGGTCCCCTCTGACACCGCCAGTTACGGGGCGCAGCCCTCGGGGGTCTGCTTCACCACCATCACCCTCCTCCCATCCTGATGTCTGCTCCAGCAGGATGAAACCCTTACCAAGAAGTGTTGGGTCACCTGCTGGCTTTGTCCCAGCAGTGCCAATGCCTGCTGGCATGGGTTCACCAGGCTTTTGGGGCAAATTATGTTGTGTGATGGGTAGAGGAGGCAGACCACGGATTTTCATCCTGGACTGGTTTGGGGGAGGATTGGGTCGCTGGGGGATCAACTGGATGAGGTCATGGGCTTGTTTGTGCTGTGCAGCTCTTGATTTTGCCATGTGGTGCTGACAAAGCTGCTTGTTTTTGGTGCCATGGTTGTGCCTCCCTTGCAAGTAACTCTTGCCTATTTGATCTGCTGAATTATTGGCAAATTTCTTCAGAAAATAATCCTCGGCTGGCAAATGGCTTGCAAACAGCTTGTGGGAGAGGGTTTGCACTTGGCGGTTCACGCTGTGTTGGTTGCATAAGGTAGGTGGTGAAGCCTGCATGGGGGTTGTGTGCGGGTGACCAGCGAGTTCGGGGTCATCTTTGTGGACTAAAACTTTACGATTGATTAATATGTGAGTGTCTAGACAGAGACTGTTGAGCTTGAGAGAATGAATAGTCATTGGGATCTCGTTGCTACTTAGCAAGAGACAGTAGCTGTGGTGGAGGGGACATTGTGAGCATCAGAGATGTAGGGTAGCACTAGCCTTGGATTGTGTTGACCGGGTTCGGATTCTGGTACATCCCATGGTGATGGACCAGAGAGGATATCCACATGAGCAGGACCCACCCCAGGATCCATCCCCAATGGACTCAGAGGGACCCAGCGTCATGCTCGCTGGTTCTTGTCTCTCCAAGAGTGACACGGGATATTACTTTTCCTTCCTGGACTTATTTTTTGCCACGTGTCCAATGCGAGAGGTGGCATCATGGGCCCAGACACCGTGTTGGGATTTCAGTGAGCAGCAGGATTTCCTGGGCACGCTCTCCCTGCTGTAAATTAGCTAATGAGGGGCTACTGCTGTGAGCAGCCTCCTGGGACCCCGTGCGGGAATGGATAGCACTGACTTGGGTTTGACTGGTGTTTGCTTCTTGTGTCAATAAATCCAGATTTTTTTCATCTCAGTGGAAATCAACACCCACCTAAAACTCCCTGATGCTAAAGCTTCCACTGGGGAACTAATAGTCACATTTGTAAACCCGCTCTGTTTATAACCTGTGGTTTCCGAATCGTCATAGCTGCCTGAGAAAAACAGCCTGTTCTCCCCCAGCTAAAAATACTTTTATCCAAAAATGTCCATAAAATACCTTCACTCATTCTGAGGCAGAGCCAGGGAGGGGAACATCTGTGTTTCCCCTGGGGCTCGGGGGTGCTCACCTTGCCTATGCATAAACCAGAGCTGTCTGAGTGCTGAAGCTGGACTTGTGGCCTGCTTGATGCAGCCCGTTCTGGACCAAAAAAGTGGGAAACTGTTCAGAAAGGGAAGTGGGAGCTTGACGACCTCTTAATCAGTGGTCCTGTGGGGGTGAGGTTGAAGGAGCTTCAGCCATCAGCAACTGGAGCATCAGGTCCCTGCTCCGCAGGTGCCGTTAGTGTAACGAATAGAGACCAAGGATCCTAATCCAGCCTGCCTTATTCTACACTGTATTGGAAGGAGTTTATTGAAAAAAAAGGGTTAAACTCCCTCTGCAAGTATCCAGGTGGGTGTGTGCTTCACACACTCCAATGCCTGAGCATCATAGCACCAAGTTGGCTTTTTTTGCAGCAGTTGCGGTGGTAATACAATAACATGTTATGTGAGAGGTGAAGGGGTGGGGAAACGCTTCTAACAATGGGAAAAAATCAAAATGAAAATCAAAAGGCCCTTGTGAAGCTGTGCTGCTCAGGAGCCAGGGAAGCAGCCGCTGTAAAACCAGGATAAATGCACCGGGGTCACTAACAGGAAGAGCTGGCGTCACGGTTTTTCGGAGGGTTTAATAACATCTGCTACACCTGGGTGCATTTTGTGAAGCCCTTGGGCACTGCGGTTTTCATTAAGGGATTTTGTGGGGTGGAGCATGGCCAATGGGAGGCAGGATTGAACGATTGCCAGTGGTGCCTGCCATGCCCTTAGCAAACCCAGAGCTGACCGGATGGGCACTAGCCTGTGCTGGTGGAGGAAAACCTCGCTCTCTAAGCCCAGATAGCTGGCCCGAAAACTGAAGTCCTCTCCCTGCGAAGGCAAGTGGCAGTCACAAGCCCGGCTTCTCCCTCTGACCTCCTGGTGAAATTTTGTGCACAGATGTGCCCTGATTTTCAGCCGTGGCTGGGGTGAAGCAGGAGAAAGTGGTTCCTAGGAGGCTGCTTTCCTCCATGCTGCAAGATTGCAATGTCAGCATAAGGATGAGGAGGGCAGGTTGTTGCTCGTTGTGGTGCTGCCTGGCTTTTGGGATGACTGTCCTGGAAAGTGCCCAGTGCCCTTTTTGCAATTCTCCTGGGCTCTCCCATGGCAGTGATGAAGCTGCTTTGCCCTCTGGTATTTAGTGCACCTCGCGCAAACCAAGTTCTGTGTGTCTTGAGTTGTCTTTTTGATCTTGGAGGTCCAGAGATGGAGTGGGGGGTCCTTGAATGGGTCTGGCAGCAGCTCTGTGCGGGAATATTTATATGCTGTGTCACCTCGTGGCTTGGAGTGCTGGCCCCCGGCAACGTGCCTGGCACACCATGCACGTGCAAGAGCACACATGTGAACACGTGCACACCCAAGCTGGGAACAGGCTCTTCCCCCAGCGCTGACACCTGCGTTTTCCTAACCAAGGGAGTACAGTGCACCTCCAGGCAAGGAGGTTTGGGGGAGTGGATATGAGGCTTGGAGAACAAGCATTAAATCGGAGCACAAGTACAGCGTCCCGATGGGATTATTCTGCTGGAGCCTGTACAGTTGCAAAGTGTGTTGTTCTATAGGGTAAACCAGTAAAGACACAACCCTGAGTCTAAAAGCGGAGCAACGATCACACCAGACAAGACTTCTTTCCTCTTCCCTTCTTTCCCTTTCGTGCATAGTGTCGGTCTCCAACGTGGTGTCTGCCCCATCTCCCACCCCCTTCCCAGCTCTTTCCTTCC